GGGGATGTAGGAGTCTGCAGGATGCTGGAACAGCCGCCAGCCCCCAAATCCTCCTATCCTGGGCACATTTGTGCCCCTTTCCCAAGATGGCAGCCCTGCTCTCCTCGTCTGCCATCCCCTCTCTCCCTTTTTTTTTTGAGGGGGGGTTGCTAAATGGGATTATGGCATGCCTCGGAGAGGCGGCGGCGCTGGGGACAGCCATGCACATTTCCCAGCTCTGTCTCATCGTGTAATCTTGTTAAATGATCAGAGAGCATTTCCCCCCCTTCTCCCTCCCCTTTAATTCCCGATTGAAACATCAAATAGAGCCACCGGGGGCTGCCAGCAGCTCCACCTGCTCTGGGAAGTAAAGGAGGAATGGGCACCATGTCCCTTCGTCTGCAGCTTTCTGGGGTGGAATCACTCTGAGCTCACACTGGGAAAGAGAATCATGGAATGGCCTGGGTTGAAAAGGACCACAGTGATCATCCAGTTCCAAACCCCCTGCTATGTTCAGGGTCGCCAACCAGCAGACCAGGCTGCCCAGAGCCACATCCAGCCTGGCCTTGAATGCCTCCAGGCACAGATCACCTTCTCCTGCTTGAATCACATCTGGCTAAGAGAGAAGGCGCTGACTCATAGCATTCAGCTCTCAGCTGAGAAGCAGCACCTGGCTGGTACATGAAAATAGGGGCAAAGTGGGGTGAGCTGCCTGGGAATGTGATGAGAATGAGGGCTGTAGATGGCTAAATCTCTGCATTTAGAAGTCACATTTCTAAGGTGGGGAATCATCCCGCAGTGGTGCTCTGCACCAGGACCATTTGGATGTCAGGGGGAAGTTCTTTACAGAGAGAGTGGTGAGGTGCTGGAACAGCTGCCCAGAGAGGCTGTGGATGCCCCGTCCATCCCTGGAGGTGTTCAAGGCCAGGTTGGATGGGGCCCTGGGCAGCCTGGGCTGCTGTGAAATGGGGAGGTTATTTCAAATCTTGATTGGATCAGCTCCATCCAGTCCCGATGGGGTGTGATGAATGGCAGGAGGGGATCTTGTAGGAGGTGCGGGATCAACGGGCAGATAAAGCACCCCAGGTGGCCACAGCATCTCGGGGCTGCCATGCTTTCGTGCCTCAGTTTCCCCGTTCCAGAGATAGGGAACCGCAGCCTCACCCTATCAGCCCAACTCTTCGCATCCCTGCCGAGAGCCCGGCAGGACCCGGCCTGCGCGCTGCCTCATCCTTCCCCCCTCCCTCTTTATTGATTTAATAAGATGGAGGGGAATTAACGGGGCCGAAGCATTGGGATAATGAAAGATGAACAAAGGGGCAGCGCTAGCAAAGATGCTGCCAGCTTTTAATGATGAGGCCGGGCAGATCCCCTGCTAGCTGTCCCTTTGGAGTGGCGATTAAGAACATACTGTTATTGTTAAGGCCAAGAGATAAATCCCTGCACCGTTTCTGATGTGATCAGCCGGGGCTTCTCCCTACAATTTGTGATCCTATTGTGGACGGTGTTTGCCCTGGGCAAGGAGAGTCTGGGAACCACTTATGAACCATCCTTTGGTCATTAGCCTCCTCATTAGGAGAGAACAATGTCGGGGAGGAAAGATAATTGAAGGGAGCAGCACTCAGGGCTGTGCCAGCGCTGCCTCAGTTTGTTGGTAATTCCCAATTAATTTGAAATGCGTGGTTTGGGGATAATCTTAATAACCGCATCCATCGAGGATATTGCGAGCATTTTGGGGTTCCTCGTGTCAGCCTGATGGTGACGTAGACTCAAACCTATGGATTTGGGGCTGAGGATGACCCAAGGGCCAGCATTCGACCCGAAATTGGGGGCTAAAGGTTGGGGAATCGGATCCAGACACGCAGCGATGTCCCCAGCACAGGGACACCCCGGCTCCGTGCCCCGGGGACCGGCGGGGGGAGAAGCAATTCCTCAGGATGCTTGACATTATCAAGTGCTAATGAGACCTGGATGGGGCTGGGGTGCTTTGCAGGCCATTACCCCAAATTAACCTGACAATGTAGCCGGGGCCAGCGTCTGAAGGAGGACTGGGTTGTGTATTGGCTGTCTGAGGCCGGGGGCAGAAGGATGCTGCCCTTCTGCCTTCTCTCCCCTTGCAGAAAGCAGTTTTGCATCTTGCAGGGTGGGTTTCGGCGGCATGCCTGCATTCGGATCAGCATCCCAAGGGCTGGAGGAAGGCGGAGGGTATGGAGAGGACGGGGGGGGGGGGGGGGGGGGGGGGGGGGGGGGGGGGGGGGGGGGGGGGGGGGGGGAAGCAGGGCTGTCTGCTCTGACGGCTGCAGTGTGTCATCTTTCTTGGAGAAAACATGTCCCCACGTCCCTTCCTCTCCATCCCTTCCTCCCCAAGCTGCTGCTTGCACGAGGCTTTCACCAGTTCAGCGGCCAATGGCTCGAACTGGGCAGAAGCAGCATCTCTCACAGCCAGTAGCCACCATGCACTGGGCTGGTCGTGCCTCTGCTGCCTGAAAACTGGGCTCCCAGATGCCACCACTCCTGTCCTCCCCCTAATTTGGGTCTGTTAATGACACCTTGCAAGGTGCTGAGGATGCAGAAGGTGAAGCAGATGGTGGCCACTCCAATGTCCCAGCACAGTTGCATGCTCCCAGAACAGAAAGCACAGGCAGAAATAATAGCAGGCTTCAGTAATTACTTTTCTAGACTTTCTGATGAGTGAACTGACATACTGGCAATCTTGCCCATGGGAGGGGGATTGGAATTAGAAGATCTTCAATTCCCTTCCAACCTAAGCCATTCTTTGATTCTATGTATCAGTGGACAGAGACCCTCACATTCCTCTTTTAGTGGTGAAGATGAAGGTCTGTTCCCTTCCTCCAGTGGGATTTGGTGAGACCTGGCTTGGGAAGGGGCAAATCAGAAGATGTAAGGAAATCCCCCACTGCCTTTCTGCAGGCATCCATCCCCACCTGGCTGAGCAGAGGAAAAACAGTGAAAAAAATCTGTCACAAGTGTAAATCTGACTGTCAGTACTCTATTTCTAAGCCAATTTTGCTGGATTTTAAGAGCCAAAAGCATGAGGTCATGAGTTCAGGCTCCTTAGGGTGGCGGTGCTGGGCAAGTTATCCTAATTGTAGAATCGTAAATGTTGGAAAAAACCTCTAAGAGCACTGTATCCAACCTTCAGCCATTCATCCAACCAACCATCCCCACTGTGCCCACTCATAGAAGCATTAAGGTTGGAAAAGGCTGCTAAAAGTCACCAAGTCCAGCCAATATCACATCCCCACCATGCCCACTAACCACGGCCTTCAGACAGTGAGCTCCAACACATCATGGCACCATCTCCTCCCCCGTGGGACCCTGCAGACGGGATGCTCTGTGCTGAGATGATATTTTCCCACTTGGGAACAACTCACAGGCAGGATTACAAATGCGGGCCAAACCCTGATCACGTTTTCACGTGTGCTTGCTGTGGATTTGGGGATATTTCCGCCCCATCTTTTGCCTGCCGGGAAGGCCGGAGCGGGATGGCGACGGAGCCGGGTGGTGGAGGAGAGGTGTGAAATTTCTCATGGGCAAACAAGTAAGAGCGGCGGGGTGCCCGGGAGAAGGGGAACCGAAAAGACGAGGGGGGGAGCCAAGGAGGGAGAGAAAGCAGCAGCCAAAGAGGGACACAAATCCCCAAAGCAGCGAGCCGGGGGATTTTTCTATGAGGGGATTGTAAAATGCGCTCTCTCTTTTCCCTTTGCAGGGGGGAACAAGGGCCCCCACTCTATCTGATAGTCATTAGCATCAATTAGCCCCGTTTGAAGTAGGCAACATCTTTGTCTCTTTGCAAAAAAGAAATAAGAAAACCTTTCAGGGAGCCCATAATAACATCTGGAGCAAGGAGAGGCTGAGCTCAAGTTCCCCACTTTCATCTCTTGTCGAGGTACTTGGAATGTTAATGCAGCCTCATTCTTTAATGGAGTTATCAGGAAATGCTTTTCACCCCCTTCCCTTTGCTCAGGGGGGATGTTTACAAAGAGCTGGGGGCTTTTTTTTGTTGTTGTTTTGTTGTTGGGATTTTTTTTCCCCCCCAAAGAAACTCCCGCCCTCCTCCTCCTCCCCTCCCCCCCCAACTCTTTCCCCTTTTATTTTCTGTACTCTTGAAAAACAAAACTGGAAACATAAAAAAAAAAAAGGGGGTGGGAGGCTCAGGGTCCGTCCTTTCATCTCCCCTTCTCAGCGCCTGCACAAGGTTCCTTCCCGCGGAGCACACGGGGTGGGATGATGGGATGGAGCCGTTCAACCTCACGTGCACCGGGCAGCCCCGCTCCGCCTGGCTGCTGGGTGCTACATTTCCCAAGTCATTACCAGCGAGTGAAAATTTCCAGCTTTTTAACTGAAATGCATTAGCTGAGCACACAGTACTAATGGGACGCAGGGCGCGTCATTAGGCGGCTCGCCGCCAAGCTGGGGATGCTGAATGGAAAACCAGCTTTGGTGGCCACCCGTCTCTCTGTGCCTTGTGTGTGGGGTTCTGTCCCTCTGTCCTTCCTCCCACCTCTGCTGTGCCCACGCTGCTCATCCCGGAGTAAATCTTGAAGGTCTCTTCCAACCCGTGCCATTCTACCATTCTATCATCCTGTGGTTCTATGTTTCTGTGATTCTACGATTCCATGTTTCTATGATTCCACAATTCCATCAATTCCATGTGTTATCTACAATTCTACAATTCTGCAATATTGTGATTGTACAGATCAATGTTTCCATGATTCTACAATTCTATGATTCTGTGATTCTGTGATTCTGCAGTTTGATGATTCCATGATTCAAGGATTCCATGATTCAAGGATAATTCTATGATTCAGTGATTGTACATTTCTAGGATTCTACAATTCCATAATTCCACGATTGTATGATTCCATAATTCCATGATTTCATGATTCAGTGTTTATATGATTCAATGATTTTATGATCTAGTGATTCTATGATTCAACCATTCTAGGATTCTATGATTCTCCAACGCAATGATTCAATGATTCAATGATTCCATGATTCCATGATTCCATGATTCAGCAATTCAATGATTCCATGATTCCACTATTCTATGATTTCATAATTCCATGATTCAATTATTCAATGATCCCACGATTCAATGTGGGATTCAATGTGATTCAATGATTAAACAATTCAACGATTCAGCAATTCAACTATTCTGTGATTCAATGATTCTATGGCTCCATGATTCTATGATTCCATGATTCCACGATTCAATGATTCAATGATTCCATGAATCAATCATTCTACGATTCAACAATTCAGTGATTGAATGATTCTATAATTCATTGATTCTATGATTCAGTGACTCCACAGTTCCACGCTTCCATGGTTCTATGATTGAACAGTTCTGTGTTCCAATTCTGTAAGAACTTAACACACAGAGCACCCCTCGCATCTCTTCCCATGGGAAACAACGTGGGTTATGGTGACTTATTAAAAAGAGAAAAAAGCAATTGGCCAGAAAAACTCCTGTCTAAGCATGTTTTAACCTACAAACTCTTTGCAACCCAAAGCCAAACTCAAGCCAGGAGCTGTGAATCCTTTGCACCATTTTCTCGGTGATGGGCTTTTCGGGGAGAAGCTTCAATGCTTGCCCAGCTTTGAACGTGTGATTTCAATTAAGCACGGAGTTAAATGCCGACAGGGTCGGGGCTGTGTGTTTGGATAAGGAGCAATAAAGCAGCAGCTGTATTTATTCACTTATTTTGAAGCTGCCGTGGAAGGCAGGATGCTAAAAGGGAGGAAAAAGTGTTTGAAAGGCAAAGCTGAGGGACTCCTTTGTGTCCTGCAGGCATCCTGCTCCCAAAGGCTCCATAACCAACAGCAGGGTGCTGCTTCGCCGGGGGGAGTGATGTCGGCTCTGTCCCAAAATTTCCATTTCCCTCAAAATGCTCCAATTGCTTAACATATAGAGATGCCCCTTTATAAAAGGAACTTCAAAGTGTGTGAGAACGGCACGGATCCCCAATTTAAGGCAGGATTTGCTTGGTACAGACAGCCCGCCCTGCACGCAGAGATGCTTAATGCCGGATTATTAAGCCATGGGGGATTCTTGTTTTGTGTTTATTAACCCAAATGCTCTGTGCTGGGAATTTCTCTGTGTTTGCTTACAATGAAGTTAGTTTATAGTGTGAATGTTGTGCTTGCAGAGATATGTGCAGGGATATTTGTGCACACAGGGCTGCATATCCCCAGTGCTGTTTGCTGGGCACACTCACACATCGGCCGTGAGTCCGTGCCAGCTGCACTCCTCCTTTGGGGGATCAGTTGGAACAGATATGGGTGTCAGTGGGGGGAAGGAGTGGGTGTTGGTGTGGGTGTCCATGGGGAAAGATGTGGGTGTCCATGTGGGTGTCAGTGGAGGTGTTGGTGTGGAAGGAGGGGTGTCCATAGGAACACGGGTGGGGAAAGAGGGGTGTTGGGATGGGTTTTGGTAGGGAGGAAGCTGATGATTGTCCATGGGGGAGTTGGTTTAGAAAGAGAGGTGCCCCTAGGGGTGCTGTTTCAGGAGGAGTGTTGGGGGTGTTATTTTGGAAGGCACCAGGGGTGTACCTTCGGTCGGAGGGGTGATCCTGGAGGTATTACTTTAGAGGGAGGTGTTCTGAGGGCTCTTGTTTCAATGGGAGGACTGTCCCTGGGGTGTAGTTTCGGAAGGAGGGCTGTCCGTTCGGAAGGAGGGCTTTCAGGGACTGTTGTTTCGGAAGGAGGGGTTTGGGGGAGGTGTTGTCTCGCTGTCGCCGCGGGCCGGCAGGTGTTGGGCAGCCCCCCGCCCCCTCTTTGCATAGCAGCTCTCCCCTTCCTTCTCCCCATATAAAGCCCCCGGATCGGTCGGAGGCACCCAGCCGGCCATGCCTCCCCCAAAGACCCCTTTCCACATCGACGCTCTCCTCGCCGAACCCCCACGGCCCGGTCCCGCAGCCCCCGGCCCGCCGCCCCCCATCCCTCTCCCCATGCCGGGGCCGGGAGCCTGGAGCTGGGGCTGCCGCTGGGGAGGAGGTGAGCGCCGGGCTCGGGGTGCGGGGCTGCGGGGTGGTGGGAGAGCCCCGCGGTTTGGAACGGACGGGCTGACCGAAAATGTGCTTCCCTCTCCCCCCTTTCCTCCCCTCCCCTTGAAATTAAGTCTCTTTAGCATTCGGAGCAAAACTCGCAGCTCAGCACAGCTTCGGTCTGGTCTGAGAGCTGCAATATTCAGATCAAAAATATTTGCTACTCTTGATCTTTTCTTTTTCTTTCTTTCTTTCTTTTTTTTTTTTTTTTTTTGAGCTACATAGTACAACTACTTAATGTCTTACTTCCTTTAACAGCCAGCATCTGTATGGCTGCATGTTACTCTGTGTACTATATTGAATATAAAGATAGGAAAATACATGTCTCTATCCACAAAGTATGTCACGTTAGTAATTGCACTTACTATTATCCAAGTATCAAAACAGGGAAAAAAAGTGTGACTGGTAAAATGATCTGAGAGCTGAAAATAGTTGAAGTGCAATTAGGGTTGTTAAGCTGTCAGGTCTCCAGCCCACAAATCGTTAAACACGTGCAGAACCTACACCTTAATTAATGAAATGAAGCAGGTCACGGTGCCTGCTTGTGTCTGACAGCATAGCACTGCTCTTAGGCTGAGGCCAGTTGGTCCTGTGACAGTTGTTTGTTAATGAGCTAATTATTGTTATCATCAGGTCACAACTAGATAGAGGGCTGTGCTAGAGACAAAGAGCAGATCCAAAGTCACTCCTGCACAAAAGGAACGGGTTGGGCCATTCAATCCCATGCAGGGACCAGGAAGGGAGATGCTGGCCTTCCTAAGGAGCTGAGGCTGAAGGGGACTTTGGGAACATCTGTCCTGCAGGATGCTGCCAGCTTCAGCATCGGTGCTGGCTGAGCGTGGGCAGAGTTTCCCCAGCCTTTGGATACCAGTGATGAGGGACTTCCTGAAAGTGGGGATGGTGGTTTTTTGCACTCAGCAACTCTTGATGGGTGTTATTACTGTTATTCTGTGGAGATGGGAGGTTAAACCCTGCTCACTAGTGCTGACTTCGGGTTGGGCTGCATGTCTAAAACTGTTGTAGGTGGTACTTGTCATAGCACAGAATTATCTGCATTGGAAAACACCTTCACTATCTCCAAGCCCAGCCATTAACCTGACCTACCAAGTCCTTCACTAAACCACGTCCCTTCGTGCCACAAAGGGACATCCCTGCTTTCTTCCTCCCACCCCCTTACAGTTGTAGAGTAGCTGCATTTGGATTTCAGCCACAGCTCATGCAAGCTGGACTTGACACTTCAGCAAGGCTGGAGGAATGGCCTTAACCACTGAGACCCCTTAAAATCCCTGCTTGTTGCATGCAGGTCTGGAGATGTCTCACTGCACAGGTGCCGACCCGCTGGGCCCTGCTGTGCCATGGAGGTCTGGAGGGCCCTGCAAAATGAAGAGGGTCCGCACAGTCTTCAAACCAGAGCAGCTGGAGCGGCTGGAGCAAGAGTTCCTCAAGCAGCAGTACATGGTGGGCACAGAGCGAGTGGACCTGGCTGCAACACTGCGTCTCACAGAGACCCAGGTAAGGGATCGGGGAGCTGGGCATGGCTGCAATGAGCTGGGATCCGGGGTCAGTTGGTGGGGATTCCTCCTTCGTGAAGCAGGAACTGATGCAGAGTGACCTGCTGCGAGATAACATTGGAGAACATTGCAAGATAAGTTTAGATTTATGAATAATAACACTTTAAATTTATGAAGTAGAACAAAAAGCATTTGGGAGCACAAACCTGCTTGCATTGGAGTTCAAGCTGAGTTGGACTGATTTAGATTAAGATGTTCTGGAGGCACTTTGTGCAGTATGGATCCTTGCATGATGCAGGATCTGATTTTTTCCTCCTTCTCCCTCTCTGTTTCTGCTAGGTGAAAGTCTGGTTCCAGAACCGGAGGATCAAATGGAGGAAGCAGAGCATGGAGCAGAAGAAAGCAAAGCTGTCACAGTTTGGGGTGATACAGTCCACCTCTGCTGGCCCCACAGATGTCAAGGAGCATGAGCAGGACACAGTGGACGTTGAGCTTTGAGCAGCTGATGGGATGCAGCTGCCACTGTTGTTTTTGCAGCCTGCCTGATGGAGGTATTGGGGATGCAGGCACATCTGTGCTCGCTTGGTCCAAGCTAGACTTCTTGCTCTGAGAGTGTTGAGCTACAGAACTAAAATGCCACTGGGTGGGAAGAAGCATCCAAGTGTAGAAACCCCCTATTTGGTAACCAGTGCTGTAACTCTTGGGCTTGATGGTGCCACTGTTGTGGCAAAGCATGTGATTTAATTTGCTATCACGGTGCTAGGAAGCACAGTTTCCAATAGAGAGGCTGGGGTGACAGTCAGTCCATGTCTCTGACAGCTGTGAGCATGGCAGCATCTGAACATGGAGTCACTCCTGTTGCAGGTACTGTGTGCTTCTATGAGGGAGAGCTGTGTTTTATGAGAGATTTGGGAGGAGATTTGGCTCTGATTGTTTCTTCTGGTCATCTTGATTCCCATGTTGGATGCTGAGATCACAACAACAAAAAAAGTGGAAACTGAAAAGTCCTTTGCTCCCACCTGCATCATTCTTATCATTATTGTATTTATTTTCGTATATTATTCATGCAATGTGATAAACAGGGTCTGACTCTGCCCCTGGAGCAGAAGTGCCCCTCCTCCTATCCTGTGCCTTGCTGTCTTCCTGCCTTTCTTTTGCCTTTCAGAGCCCAGTGTGTTTTTGCCTTACTTCACCATGGTGTCCACAGGGAACAAGGCGCTGCTGAGGCTCTCAGAGGTGCAGAGACCAGGGCTGTTATAAACCAGCAGCTCTCCAACACCTCTGCTGTGTCAGACGGCCCCCTGCCCTCATCCAGATGTGCTGGTCCTGGCCCAGATGGCGGCTGCTCCCTTCTCTCCTCGTTATACACTGCAGTGCTGTGGGAAGCAGCACCTGGAGAGCTTGGCGAGCACATTTGCAACCACACACTGCAGCTTGCTGTCGTATTCCTGGTGGGTGGGAGGGCTCTGAGGGGTCAGGACTGAGTATTCACGTTTCTCTGTGTTTTAGTAATTCCTAGGGGCTGATGTGCACAGCAGCAGCAGCTTTTGGCCACGCAGCCAGTGCTCAGGCTGTCACCTCATCCCAGGGCACCAGGCGCAACATCCCATGAGCTCAGGATAATTCATCACGCCACAGAATCACAGAATCATAGAATGGCCTGGGTTGAAAAGGACCACAATGATCACATATTTTCAATCCCCCTGCTATGTGCAGGGTCACCAACCAGCAGACCAGGCTGCCCAGGCCTGGCTTTGAATGCCTGCAGGGATGGGGCATCCACAACCTCCTTGGGCAACCTGTTCCAGTGCATCACCGCCCTCTGAGTGAAAAACTGTATATTGCTTTCCTCTAGTGTTAGAGAGAAAAGAAATAACATGTTTTTCTTTTCTCCTTGCCAAGCGTCGCTTTTTTATTTGCTTCGCTTCTTAAGAAAGAAAGAAAGAGTGTGTTTAAGAGGGAAGATGAGATTGGGAGAGGGCAGCAGAGCTTGGCATCCCCGAGTGCCACATTTCCATGGCCCTGGAGCATCCCAGGGACAGTGCCATTCCCTGGGCAGCCTTCACCAGTGCCTGACCGCTGGTGAAGTATAACACGAATACATCTTTTGCCCGTTTCTTGCAGAATTCGCCCTATATTTATAGCAAGAAATGCCACAAGGTGTTACGGCAGGCAGAAAGGTTTGGGTCACGGCTCAAGCAGATGCTCCACGCTGCACCTTTGCATCAAAACCTTACAAAAAGAGGATGCACTGTGGTTTTATTGCAGTTTCCTGCTATTATGTGTGTAAGTGGTGAAAATAGAGATAAAAAGGACCACGGATCGCCACGGCTGCAGGATGGAGGGGATGGCCCGGCAGAGCAGCGCTCCCTATAGGGGCCCGCAGGAAAAAAAAAGAACAAACCACCACGAGTTGTTTTTAAATCGTGCCGGCAGTGACACCTAGTGACTCCAAAACACCTGAAAACACCCCAAAATTATACATCCCTCCTTCCCATACCCAGACAGATCTGGGATGAAGGCAAGCAAGCGTGAATGAGAGAGCGATGCGATGCTGCTAAACGCGGCGTTTGCGTGGATTTTAGGCGTTTGCGGGGGAATAGCGAGGCGCGTGTTAATGTGCTGGGGGAATTTTTAAATTATTTTTGTGGAAAATAAAGGCAGTTTGCGGAGGTGCCCAAGGGGTGAGGGAGCCAAGATGGCCGCCCGCCCTGTGGGCTGAGGGGTGGCGGGAGCGGACCCCGGGAGCTGTGTGGGGAGGGGCGGCCATCTTCCAGCCGGGCAGCGGCGGGAGAGAGGGAGAAAGAGGAAAAGGAGGAGGAGAAGGAGGAGGAGGAGGAAGAAGCAGCACTGCCCGCCCCCGTGGGTCAGAGCGTGGAAGTCGCCGCCCGAAGATGGCCGCCGCGGCGGGGGACGCGCGCGGAGCGGCGCTGGGAGCCCGGCCGGGGCTCGGGGCTGCGGCCGCAGCCGAAGCGCGGTTCATCAGCAGCGCTAAGGTGAGCCGCGCCAGCCGCGACTGCGGAGCGAGCTCCGTTTAACCCTTCCCCTTAACGCCGGGTTTGTTCCCCTTGGCAGGGGAAGGGGCTGTTCGCCACTCGGAGCATCCGCAAAGGGGAGGCGGTGTTCGTGGAGAAGCCGGTGGTTTCGTCGCAGTTCCTCTGGAACGCGCTGTACAACTACCGAGGTGAGCCGCCTGCGGGCTGCGTGCTGTGGGTTGGGGTGGCATGGCTTGGCTTGGCTTGGGCTCTGCTGCTGCTTCCACAGAGTCGCCCAAGAGGGTTGGAAGAGAGCTCCAACCTCCCCCAAGCCAACATCTGTGCTCGCTGAGCCCTCACGACCACAACCCCACGGTTCTGGAGCAGCTCCAGGGACACCCGTTCCTTTGGGTGCCACTGCCTGACTGATTTCCTGATGTCCGACCCTCCCCTGGTGCTGCTGAAGGCCGTCAGCTCTTGTCTTGTTGCTGTTGCTGACCCCCACCTCGCTCCAGCCTCCTTCAGGCAGCCATCAGGTTTCCCCTGAGCCTCCTCTACACTCAGCCATCCCATCCCCTCAGCCTCTGCCCACAAGATCTGTGCTCCAGATCCTTCACACCTTCGTTGCCCTTCACTGGACACCGTTAAGAAGCTGGAAGAGCGGGCACAGATTAAAGGAGGCCGCCAACCAAACCATCCTGCTGGAAAAAATATATATATATACACTGGGGATGTAAGGACCACAGTTTTTGAGTGGTGTGGGTGCTAATCTACGTGATCAACCGTTGGCACAGGCTGCCCGGGGAGGTGGTGGAGTCACCATCCCTGGAGATTATCAAGAACCGTGGAGATGTGGCACTGAGGGGCATGGTGAGGGTTGGACTTGGTGATCTGAGAGATCTTTTCCGATCTTCATGAGTCTGTGGAACCTGCAGGGTTGCTGGTGTTCTTCAGTAGTGTAAAAGTGGAAACCGGTCAAGGTTTAAAACTTTTTTTTGGTGTGTGTGGCTTAAGCTGTTCCACTGGGCTCTTGCTTTTGGGTCTTAGATTGAAGAATCACAGAATGGCCGGGGTTGGAAGGGACCTCAAGGATCATGAATCTCCAAACCCCTGCCACAGGCAGAAGAAGGGGATAGAGAGATAGACCTGGAGAGAAGAAATGCAAAAGAGGGGTTGGATGTAAGCTGGGCCTTGTCCTACCTAGACCATGCTGTCTGCAGGTCAGCAAAAGGAGGACACTTGTTGCATGTATCATGCGGCCCTTAAAGACAAGGCTGTGGGGGTGCTTGTCATGTGTCATAGGGCCCTTAAACACGTGTCTCACTGGGGCATCTGGTTGTGTTTTCTGCTCGCAGCCTGTGATCACTGCCTGCGGGCTTTGGAGACAGCAGAGGAGAATGCCCAGCGACTGCTGGGGAGGAGCTCTCTGGTGTTGCCTCACCCAGAGCAGTGCAGCATCCGCAAAGACCTGCACCAGCAGTGTCCTCGCTGCCAGGTATGGGGCTGTTGGGGGGGACTGTGATATTCTGGGGGTCATTGACTCCTTTATAGCATCTGGGCAGGCCTTTGGTGTGACTTTCTGCCCCATAATGTGACTGCTTTTTCCTTCTGCTAAAGAGCTGGGGCTTGGCTGGGCCCAGAAGCCCTTTTCCTGCTGCCGTAGCCAATGCTGGGTGCTGTGCCTCTTGCTCTAGGTGACATACTGCAGTGCTGAGTGCAGGCAGGCTGCTTTGGAGCAGTACCACCAAGTCCTCTGCCTTGGTCCGTCTCGTGATGACCCCACGCACCCCCTCAACAAGCTGCAGGAGGCATGGAGGTAGGGGATCAACCCACCTGTTGCTTACAGGCTGAGGTGGTGGCTGTCCCAGGCTGGGTGACACTGGCTTGGGACCAGGCTGAGGGCCATTGTTGCTTTGCATCTCTGCATGAGGGATGTGGAGGCTGTGGGATACTGCTCTGCTCTGCAGCCCTGACAGGATTTGTGTTGGCTGTGGTGGGGCTTTGACTTGGGGCTGAGCAGTTCTTATTTGTCACCCATTAAAGGGCTACCAAGCGCTATGCTGCTTGCCACTCACTACTGCAGCTTTGTAGTGTCTGCACATCTTCAGCCTTTCAGAGATCTGCCATCTCCAACCTAGGATCTGCCAAGCAGCACTCTTGTAGATACAGGAATTGCTGTCCCTGCTTGCAAATGCTAAATTGGCACGGAGGGGTGAATTGACATCTCTGCCTCAAAGCTGATCACAAGCCCCAGTTCTTCTTGCAGTCTTGGGCTTTGTGTGGGACCATTAGTATTCTTAGGACTGTAGTTTGGCAGAATAGTGGGGAGTTATTGTATGCTCTGAGCAGCCAAGTGGGTGCCAGCTTCTTGCCCCCAGCAGCATTGCGTCTTCATGCAGCGGTGCTGGGCTGGCTGATTTGCTGTGACAGATGAGCGCAGGCCTGCCCACAGGGATGGCAGCTGCTCCTGCCTCCCTCCAGCTTTTTATTTCCATACCAGCACTGATATCATCGCTCTCCTTTTTTATTCTCCAGAAACATGCATTATCCACCAGAGACTTCCAGCATCATGCTGATGGCCCGGATGGTTGCCACTGTCAAACAGGTAGGTTTGCAGTTTGGGTCAGCAGCTGCCAGCGTGTGGTTGCCTTTTCCTTTTGTGGCTGTTATTCTCAAGGACTGATCTCTTCTCGAGTGTCTGGCAGAGCAATTTCCTGCTTGAATAGATGTCAACATCTCATGATCCCTGGCCATAGAGACAGCAGGCAGCAGAGGATCCATCTATGCCCTGAGCCAAGCAGATCATTTTTCCATACCAAATTAATTAGACAGAACTGAACCTTTCCTTTGGCTCCGTTTTTTTTTTTTTTTGGCCTGGCAATCTCAATGTTTACTTCCAATAAGCTACTACTGTGCAACTGCTTCTGATGGTTCTTGATGGCAGACTGAATATGTCTGAGCTCAGTGGTACTCATCCTCTCCTTCCTCTCTCTCCTAGCTGGAGAAGAAAGAGGTGTTGGTGCAGTACATTTGCTTGATTCCTGTTTCAGGCTAAAGACAAGGACTGGTGGATCAAGGCCTTTTCCCAGTTCTGCAGTAAGACAGCGAACGAAGAGGAGGAGATTGCACACAAGCTACTGGGGGACAAATTTAAGGTAAGAGCTTTGGGCATGTTGGATACTTGGAATCCCTGAACCTGCCCTCTTCTTGCCAGCAGCCCCAGCTGGGATGGGAGACAATGGAAATCCCAAGCACAGTGGGGATACAGAGCCCTGCTTGGAGCCAGCTCAGCTGATAGAGAGGAAATGGGCTGCTGAGAGGGCTTTGGAGTTGCAGTTCTACAGCAAAACATGCTGTTCCTTCCTGTTGTGGGGATGCTTCAGCTATGGAAACGGGACAGGGTGTTGGTTAGCTGCTGAGTGTCACCTCAGAAGGTGGATTTTGCTGCTAAAATGGGTGGATTTTCACTGCTCAAAGGGCAGCAGCCCCCAGCCTTGCAGAGAAGGACCAGGAGTCTGACTTCTGAGTCTCCTGCCCTGTGCTGGGCTTGGCTATCAGCCTGGGTCTGAATCCCAGCAATGTCTGTACACCCTGATGGTGTTGATGTGTTTTGCCAGGGCCAGCTGGAGCTGCTGCGTTTGCTCTTCACTGAAGCCCTTTACGATGAACAACTCAGCAGGGTGAGTTGAGCCAAGAGAAATGGGACCTTCTTTTGGGTGCCAGTCCTTTTGGGTTATGTCTGCCCCTAAGGCCAGGGCTTTCCTGGGATTCTGCCCATTTCTTGCTTCCCCTGAAGCTCCCTGTGGGGTTTGAGGTGCATGCAGACTGGAGTTCTGCTGCAGATTGGCCTGAGCTCGGCTGTTTTCTGATCTCCCTTCTGCAGTGGTTCACTCCAGAAGGCTTTCGATCTCTCTTTGCTCTCGTTGGGACCAATGGCCAAGGCATAGGAACCAGGTAACGGGGCTTTCTGGGTGTTCCTTACAGGGCAGAAAAGATGAAGTGTGGAGGGTGTGTACAGCCTGCAAATCTGCATTGGTCTAGGTAATGGCTGGGCTCAAACATGGGAAGTGGGGCTGGAGAGGCAAACATAAAAGCAGTCTTTTATTTCAACCCTTTGGCATCCCTCTGACAGACCTTGGCCACTTGAAGCCCCTGAGTTTAACCCTTAGATCCCCTGTGTGAGCTCCCACTGTGTACTGGCAGCACAGTGGGGCTGTAATGGTGTCGTTTACTTCCCTGTAGCTCTCTGAGCCAGTGGGTGCATGCTTGTGATGCACTAGATCTCCCCATGCTGCAACGAGAGGAGCTGGACGCCTTCATTGACCAGCTCTACAAGGACATTGAGAAGGGTAAGGCTCTGCTGTGGCTGTAGGTAGCATCAGGCAGCTGGAAGGGCTTATCTGAGAGATCCTGTCCATAAAAATACCATTTATAGCCAGTGTTCAAAGACTTGTAGCATTTGTTTGGATGAGTACAGGGACAGGCCAGGGAGTGTGCGCTTGAACAAGGAGTGCAAATCTTCATGCCCTCCAGTGGGAAGGGAAAGGTGCATTGGAAACGACCCTCCAGCACACAGACCCCAGAGCAGCACTGTCTGTGTTCAGCGCTGATGACTCTTAATACATGAGCTGAATGCCTGGTAAAGCCAGAAAAACTTACGCACAACTTTAACCCTCACCCTTCTCTGTTCTGCAGAATCTGGAGAGTTCCTCAACTGTGAGGGGTCAGGTCTCTACATGCTCCAGAGCTGCTGTAAGTAACACAAGGACTGGGAGGAGAGCTAGTTGTGAGGAGGGAGTTGTGCTGTGCTAGACAGACTCACCTCTAGGCACTGGAACAAGTTGCCCAGGGAGGTGGTGGATGCCTTGTCCTTGGAGACATTCAAGATCAGGCTAGACCAAGTTCTGAGCACCTGATGGAGCAGCAGATGTTCCTGTTCATTGCAGGGAGTTGGACTAGATGGCTTTTAAGGGTCCCTTCCAACCTGAACGATTCCTAATAGGCTCTGGCAAAGTGGGTTTATGCTTCCCCTCAGCGGGCAGGATGGGATTGGTGAGTTGGATGGGATTGCTGCTGTCCTGGGGCCTGGTGGCTCTCTCATTGTTTCCTGGCATCTTGCCTATCCTTGGAATGGTCAGTCCTAGCTTGAATAGTCTCAGATGTAATGTGGGCTCCAGGAACATCATGTGCAATTAGTGGAGAGACAACCTCCTGCCTTGTCTGTGCGTAATGGAGCTGAATGAGCCATTAAAGCAAGGGAGGAGCCTTTCTTATCTGGGCTGTTAGAATGTGAGAAAGGTTGACCCAGCACTCAGAGCTGCCTTCTGTCACTCCAAAGTGTTTTCAGCACAGTGGGGTCTGGTCACTGGCTGCTGTGAGAGCTGGGAAGTGAGGGAGCAGTGCTACTCTGTGCACCCTTCTTTGGGCACACAGAGGCATGGGATGGTGCTGGGCACCCCAGGGATTGATCCAAGACCACCTTGTCTCCCTGAGTGTTGTTTTATTTTTGTTTGGACAGCCCTGACCCTGCACCTTGTTCTGCAGGAGACCTGGGACTCTGTAGTGTGAGTGGAGAGTGCAATGCTGGTGCCCCTACTGCAGATGGTTGGCTGAGCATTGTGCTGCCATATCCTTAGCCAGACCATGGCCCTGCCAGCTGGAGGTGCTGGCTCGTGCATGCCCCTGTCCACCAATAGCCAAAAGAGCAGAGTTAGGCCACTGACATTTAGCAGCTTTACCCTCTCTTCCTTTTAGGTAACCACAGCTGCATCCCCAATGCTGAGACATCCTTCCCAGACAACAACTTCCTTTTGCATCTTACTGCTCTGGAGGACATCGAAGCAGGAGAGGTGAGACTGGGATGCAGATCAACCTGAGGTGACATCATACCTTAGCAGTCCCCATGTCCCCTTCTTTCCCCACAGCCCAATGTCTTCTGCCTCTTGCATTATTTTTGCCTGGCTGTGGTAGATTCACACCTTATTCTGTGTGGGAGTTGCCAGACCCAGTTGGCTTTCAGGGGGACCAGTACAAACTGCTGCTTTGGGTTCATAGGAAGAAGCTCTCAGCCTGGCCTGTTTCTCTTTGCTCACAGGAAATCTGCATCAGTTATTTAGACTGCTGTCAGAGGGAGCGGAGCAGACACAGCCGCAACAAGATACTCAGGTATGGAGTGTAGGTATACTCAGGTATAGGAGCTGTTTGGAGAGACATGGGGGTAACACACACATCTCCAGTCACAGCCTGGACTCTTTGTTAGGGCCCTGCCATGCAGCTGTGAGCTGGCTGGTGTGCAAGCTGGTGTGCTTTTGGCAGTCTGTATGTGTAGCTTTGCCTGTGTTATTATCAGACTTATCTCTGAGCAAGGCTGGGGTTCCGTGGTGTCTTCTTATCATAGAATCATAGAATGGCCTGGGTTGAAAAGGACCACAGTGCTCAGTTTCAACCCCCCTGCTATATGCAGGGTCACCAAACAGCAGACCAGGCTGCCCAGAGCCACATCCAGCCTGGCCTTGAATGCCTGCAGGGATGAGGCATCCACAACCTCCGTGGGCAACCTGTTCCAGTGCATCACCACCCTCTGAAAAACTTCCTAATATCTAACCTAAACCTCCCCTGTCTTAGTTTAAAACCATTCCCCCTTGTGCTATCACTACCCATTCTCGTAAACAGCTGTTTCCCCACCTGTTTATATGCTCCCTTCGTGGGCTGCAGCTCATTTGGTCCCCTCTTTTGATTTGGCAAACCCTTGCTGTCCTCACCACCTTCCTTTTCCATCTCCATCCTTCTGCTAATGATCATCATGCTGGTATCCAGTCGCACCAGCAGGGTGGGGAACACCCCCCACCCCTTCAGACAACTTCCACCTCATCTGAGCATCATCAAGTCTGAGTTGTGCCTGTCTCAACTACCTTACACTTCTTCCTGACCCTCTTTCCAGGGAGAACTACTTGTTTACCTGCTCGTGTCCAAAGTGCCTAGCACAAGCTGATGACCCCGATGTGACATCGGACGAAGAGGAGGAGGCTGAAGGGGAGACGGATGATGCTGAGCTGGAGGATGAGATGACTGATGTTTGATCTTGGCCTTGGGCGAGAGTAAAGGGATGGGATGGGACCGGGGAGGTCCTCCCAGAGGCAGCAGCTTTAATACTAGAAACAGGGTTGTGTTGTGGGGTTGGGTGGGAGGCTGTGTGCCGGCAGAGGTCTGGCAGAGTGGGGCAGCAGGGGGAGCTGGAGGCAGGCCCTGCTTCCACCTGCCCTTGTGCTCTGTGTGTGTGTGCGTGCGTGTGTTTACCAGCCCATCCATTTCTCCCTTGTGAGGTTTTGAGCCAGCAGCCCCCCTGCCATATCCCAGACCCCAGGGGGCCAGCTGGTGCTTGTAGGGGAAGCTGAAGGAGGGCAGGGCCCTGGGCTGGGGTAAGGGATGTGGTAGTGGTTCATGGTGTGGCCACCTCCGAGGCTCCTCCTGTGTCAGTGCTGGCCATGGGTGTGGAGGAGCATGTCCTTTCCTACACTGCAGGGATGAGGGGAATATGTGTGTGTACGTGTGTTTGTGCACGAGGGGTACTATTTAATGTCTATATTAGCACTATCTACACACCAAGGAGCTGGGGTCCTTATATATACTCCATTCCATGCCTTGACTTGGTGAGCAGCAAGCGAGGGTCAGAATGATTTTGCAGGTGGGACAGAGATGCCTCAGGGGTGGCTCAGATGCCAGAATCTAGCAGGGAGAGAGGGGCTGACCCTGGTAGGGATCTCCATCCTGCCTCAACTTTATCCTTGATATAATGCAAAGCCCCATGCAGTGATTGCTGGGCTGTTTGGGGAGGGGAAAGTGCCACACTGCTAGCACAAACCCGACACAGACTATCACGTTGCATAAGCAAAGCCACCTCCAAATCCCAAAAACTTTTGGGTTTTGCAGAGTGAACTCCCCAGCTTGGGCTACACTGGGAGAACTCGTACGAGTGGCAGCTGTTGTGCTTCCACATGTGAAGCAGTTTGTCTGTCCACAGCACCCAGCATGAAGATGTCACTGGCAGCCAAGTGTCGCCCACCTTGCACTGCCAGCAACTGATGCTGTGAGCAGCTCTGGGGTATGCAGTGCTCAGCTGGAGGGAGAAGACAGCTCCAAATGACAGACTGGCAGCAGGCTGGGGAAGCACCCAGGGTATTTTTTTTTTTCCCATCTTGGGTTTTGGGGAGCTGCTTTTCTGCCACATTTCACTCGGGCCTGTGGGGTTTGAATTGTGGGAATGAAGGTGATGCTGTGGATGGGCACCTCTGACATGACCATCACTGCCAGCCCTGCACCCCGCTGCTTGTCCCCAGCCTCAGGTGTCCCAGGGCCACGTGCCCTTCAGTGTTCGTAATAAACCGAGACTGGTGAGAACTGGGGCTGTGTTGTTTGTAATGTAAAATGGATGGTGGTGAATGCAGAGAGGGAATGGGGGCTGGTCTTGGTAGTGGGATGGAGGAACAAGGGCAGAAATGTCCCCAAGGTCTGGGCTCTGGGTCTGTGAGGGTCTGATATGCGCCCTGCCCCAGTGGCAAGAGCAAGTGTACTGGGAGGAAGTGTAAGAAGTGAATTGGGAAAACAATCATTAGGGACAAGACTACTTAAAAAAAGAGCAACTCCCCTTTTTCTAAAACTCATTCACACTTCATTAGCTCAGACAAAAATATACAGATGTTGGATGAGCCCTGCTAGTACAGATCAAGCCCGTACCAAATGCTCCCTCCCCTCCCCTTTGGACTGCATCCATATAATACTGCAACCTCCCTAAATCAGCAATGCAAACTACTGTTGGTATCTCAGCACTGTTAAAATGTTTCTCAGGGAAGCACTGGCCTGCGCTGCCTTCCCAGAGAGTCACAATGAAGTTTGCTCAGTGCCAGGCTCAAGGTACCACCTTGGGCTGTTCTGCTGTTCAGCTACACGCCAGCGGCAGCATAAAGATTTCAACCATTGCTAAATCTGGTGAGGCTGGTGGGATTTTTGGAGCCAGGACCCTTCCCTCACACCTGATTCCTGGGCAAGCTCCTGGGATCCACCAAGAAGTCCTCGATCTGCTGCAGTCTTCCCACCTCTACCAGAAGGTCCAGGGGGGCTGCATCATTTCGTATGTTGGGATGCTGGTGACATTGACAGGAATGGAGATGACAGCCCATGGGAGTCCGTGCTGCTCCAGGGAGCGTCGGATCATGTACCTGGAAGGGGAAGGAAATATGTATGAAGGAAAGCTAAGACCCAATGGACACTACCTCCATGGGAAAATGTGGATTAAAGTTACTGAATCCACCATCAAATTGGCTCATAAAGCCCAGGCGGCACACACTGATCACTGGGACCACTGCATTAGTTGGGAATGAGACTTGTCCCTTCCCGTGAGATGCAGATCAAATGTTTCTTGGCCAAGGCACCTACCCATCCCTGCCCAGCAGGAAGAGAGCGGGGATGTCGGCCGTCCTCCTGGTGCTGTCCTGGATCATCTCAATGTAGAAGCTGTCATTATCATAGGCATTATCTGCAATGATCACCGCCCGTCCTCCGTGCTCCTGGATCACACGTGTCTTCGACAGGAACGAGCAGCCCCTGGGACAAAGGTGAGAAATCTTTGGCTGGCAGCTGCCTACAAAAGCTTCTGTGTCCTCCAACTGCAGCAGAACTGACGGCGTTGGCAGACAGAAGGGCAGGCGGGATGCGTGTGGGTCTGTGTCCCAGTGTTGGGCCCCTCACTACAAGACAGATGTTGAGGCCCTGGAGTGTGTCCAAAGAAAGGCAGCAGAGCTGTGAGAGGTTTGGAGCACAGCTCTAATGGGGAGCAGCTGTGGGAATTGGGATGGGTCAGCCTGGAGAAGAGGAGTCTCAGGGAAGACCTTACAGCTCTGTATAACTCACTGAAAGGAAGCTGGAGCCAGGGGAGGGTCAGGCTGGATGTTAGGAAACATTTATTCTCCAAAAGAGCAGTCAGGCACTGGCACAGCTGCCCAGGGAGTGATGGAGTCACCATCCCTGGAGGTGTTCCAGAACCACAGAGACGTGGCACTGAGGGATGTGGTCAGTGGGGATGGTGTGGTGGGTTGATGGTTGAACTTGATGCCTCGTCTTTTCCAGCCTTAATGCCAAAGCTTCTCCATGAGATGATGCACATAACAGGGCACCATGACTCAAAAAACTCAAACTCTGGACAAATAGAAAATAAACAGACACGTACCCTCGCTCCACCAAGGCGATCTGGTCCTGGATGAAGACACCATTGTTCAGCTCTCCGCAGGCTTCGGGGGGATCTGCTGGGACCAGGTGGATCTGGTCGTACCTTGTGTTCTCCAAGGATGAAACAAACAGGGGTGAGTGGGATCTGGAGCTCAGAAGCACGGCCACTGCTATCCCCAACCCCGCTCATCCCCACTGGGGCCTCCAGCACACGCAAAGGGAAGGCTTGTGGAAAAGCAATCAGCTCCATTTTTAATAGATGGTTTTAAGGCCGTGCGGTGTAGAAACAGAAGGAAGGGGAAGCTGAAGTTAGTGCTTCATACTTACAAACACCCCACCAAAATCCTTGGCCGGCGTGGCGGTGAAGATGTAGCGGATGTCTCCAGGGCTCAGCACTTGGAAATAGAGGTACTCATGGATACGTAAACCTGCGTGGAGAAGGGGAGGGAGGGAAATGGGAAACTTCTGAAAATAAATGGGAAATAGCCCACGGGGACAGGGAGCACGGAGTGGAAATGCACCCACATTTGTACGCGTAGAAGGAAAATGCACTCAGATCGCAATGTACGGAAGGTAAATGCACCCAGGTGAGGGTGCACAAAGGGGAAATGCAATCAGGCCAGGGTGCACCAAGGCAAAATGCACCCGGATTGGGGTGCAGAGAGGGCAAATGCAGCCAGGCCGAGCTGCAGTGGGGGGAAATACAGCCAGACTGAGGTGCAGAAAGGGGAAAAAAGGGGACGATTAGGCCACGGAGCACCGAGGGGAAGCGCTATCGGGCCTGGGTGCGCTGGGGGGAAACGCAGCCAGACTGGGGAGCACCGAGGGACAATGCAACCGGATCGGGGTACGGGGGTCGCCGGAGGGCTGGGGGCCTGCACTCACCGCGACCCGGGCAGGAGCAGAGGCAGAGACAGAGCCATAGCGAGCGGCGGAGCATGGCTGCGCCCGGCAGCGCCGCCGCCCCGCCCCATCCCGCGCCCATTGGCGCCGCTGCTCCGAGCGCGCTTTCCTATTGGTTGGCGTTGCTGTCAATCTTCTGAGGGACGCCGGGAGCTCCGATCCTGTCACCTCGCTTCGACGCAGCGGTTGGCGTCCGTCTCTGTGGTCGTTGGGGGAAAGAAGGGCGCCTCGCTGCGGCCGCTCTGTCCGCCTGCATTATAGAGCGCGACCGGAAGTTGTCTCCTAGCAACGCGCGCTTCCCCTCCCGCCCTCAGGGAAGCTTCTGGGCGGCGCGGTGCATTGTGGGTACGCGCCTGGCTCAGCAGCGGGAGCGGCAGAAAGGAGCGCCGCCGAGATGATGGTGAGCGCCATCCTCCGCCATCCGTCCCGCTGCCGTGCTGTGCTGCTGGGCGTCTGCCCGCTCAGCCTCCGTCGGTTTGTGGGCGGGGTTGTGGCGGTGCCGATGCGTTCGGCTCGGCGGGATGGCCGGGGATTGGGGGGTGATGGAGGTGGCGGGCCTGGGTTTGGGCCTAGGTCTAGGTCTGGGCCTGGGTTTGGGCCTAGGTTTAAGTCTGGGTCTGGGTCTGGGTCTGAGTTTGGGCTTGGTTTGACCTGGGCCAGGGCTGTGTGAGGGAACAGGCCCGGGGGTCCCAGCCTGGAGGGCAGCGGTGCGTGCTGGGAGCTGTAGTCCGGGAACAGAGGGTGGAGGTCTCTCATTGTGCCTGCTCTGAGCCCCCCGCAGTGAGTGCTGCTGGGGAGCAGGCGGGGCGCAGGGGTGTGGAAAGACCCGGCGTGTTTCCTTTCATGAGATGTTTTCGGGGTGTAGTTGGTGGTGATGCTCACACCCCTTTTCAGCTCACCCCAGGCCCACGGCAGCACTCTTCAGTGCAGCAGTCGTTGTTCAGTGCTGTGTATTATTTCCCTGTGCCTGCATGCAGTTACTTAAATCTGGGTACCTAACAAAACCGTGCAGTGCTTGAACATAAAGCTTTGCCTGCAGGGCGTGCCTGGTCATTTTAATGCAAAGGGCAGATGCTCTCCTGGAGCACAGAAGCTTTTGCTGTAGCCTTTGTTATTTTATAGCCCCTACCTGTATGCTTGAGCTGACTCCACCACAGTTTGCTGTCAGCCAGCTGTAACCACTTTGACAGTGTTCACCTACCATGTGCTCAGTGTGAGCGCATTTTTCAGCATCTGTGGTGATGTGTAGATTGTGGCTTGAGGTCTGACGGGGAGAGGGCTGTTGTGGCTGTTCTGCTGAACAGGTTTGTCCTTTCCAGTCTGGTGCTGAAATTGGGATTTCACAGGGCTGTGCTGTAGGGAAGGAAGCTTTAGTGATAGGACAAGGGGGAATGGTTTTAAATTGAGACAGAGGAGGTTTAGGTTGGATATTAGGAGGAAGTTTTTCATACAGAGGGTGGTGACGCACTGGAACAGGTTGCCCAAGGAGGTTGTGGATGCCCCATCCCTGGAGGCATTCAAGGCCAGGCTGGATGTGGCTCTGGGCAGCCTGGTCTGCTGTTTGGTGACCCTGCACACAGCAGGGGGCTGAAACTAGATGAGCATTGTGGTCCTTTTCTACCCAGCCCATTCTATGATTCTATGATTCCAAGCTTAGTTGGTTTGTGGACAGTAACAGTATGATCCTGGGGTGTGTGTTAGTGCCACTTGAGTGAATTTCAGTTATGCTCTGGAAGCATGTGACACCCTGCCTTGATGTGGTGGAGGCAAAGTGGGCTGTGTGGGTAGTATCTGCTAAGCACAGGAACTTAAGAAGGATGCAGGTTTTATTCCTGGCCTTTTAGTGCAATGTGAAGTTGCTGGGCTGCTTGTTAAGATTGGAGTAACATCTCTGCTCTGGGTTCTCTCCTCAGCCAACACCAGTTATCCTGCTGAAGGAGGGCACTGACACCTCACAGGGGATTCCCCAGCTCGTCAGCAACATCAATGCCTGCCAGGTGATCGCCGAGGCTGTACGCACCACCCTGGGACCTCGGGGCATGGACAAACTCATTGTGGATGACAGGGGTGAGCATTGCACAGCAGCCTCTCTTCAACAAGGCTGGGAAAGCCCTGTTAGGTGTTGGGATTGTGTGTTTCAAGATGGTAAGGACTTTGTTTGGGGCTTAGCTTCTTTTCTGAATTGCTTCTAGGCAAAGCCACAATCTCTAATGATGGTGCCACCATCCTGAAGCTCCTCGATGTTGTCCATCCGGCTGCAAAGACGTTGGTGG